TGGAATATATTCAATCAAATTCTATTATATTCTTAGAAGCTAAATTTAAAAAAATTTAGTCCTTGTTAAATCAATTTAAAGCAATAAAGAAGGCCTATAACATCAATTTTTTGAAAAAAAAATGTAAGAAAGATTATTTGATGATTTACCAAAATTAGAAGTAATTGATTCCATTGATTGAATTCTATGGTCTAAAATGATTGAACAAGGTTGATATCAAGAAAAAGTACACACTTTATTGTACTCAAAGAATAAAAACACTTCATCAAACATTGGAAGAAATCATAAAATAAGATGCAAAATCAGTCTCATCATTCATTTTTTATTTTTCAACATAATTGACATATCTTAATCTATAACTATTTAACACCACAACTATTTGTAGATTTCAAGGAGCTTTTTCTATCAAAGCTTTCAAATAGCTCACATTTTCATAAATCCAAAACATGGATCAAGTTGTACAAGAATTGATAGCATCAAAAAAATATTAGAAAAATAGTTTGAGATTACCTCACTTTCTCTTCTATACTATCTTTTACTTTCAAACACAATGTATCTTGATCTTTAATATAGCATGCTATTCTACCTAGAATTTACACAAGACTCCTTTGTATTCCATTCTTTATTAACTCTATTTCTACTTCTATAAGTTAAAATTACAAAAAAAAATCAAATCTTATAAAAGAGCTCTTTTAACAAATGACTTGGAAAATAGAGAATATGTTGGTAAAAGTTGAATAGATTTATATTGAAAGTTAATTAGTTTCAATACCATTTGAAGGCATATTATAAATAAGCATATTTTGTATAATTTAAAAAGATGTTAGACATATCTATCTTCAATGCTTTAATGCAAAATTCACCAAGAAATATACATGGTGCGGGTATTATCATCACACTTGTGATATTTTTTTACAAATACCAATAATATATCTGTAATATCAATTTTATTACTCACGTCTATCTTATCCAAAAATATGCCTAATCAAGATTTAATCCACACTGCCAAGTTTTATTATTTTATTTTCAATGACAATATTTTGTACCATTAAGCATTTGATATTACATTTCTGAAAAAAATCACTATAATTTTTAATATTCAAATAAACCATTTTTTCGTAGTTGATATCTAATAGATGTAGCCTATTTTTACTATTTCTACCCAATAGAACCTCTACTTGCATTAGATAGATGTTAAAACCACGTTTCTTAATGGTTGTCTTAGTGAAGAAGTTTACATATAAGTTTTTAAAAGAATCTCACATTTGTGGCCTAAAATGATATATTGACTCTACAAAACTTTCTATAGGCTAAAATAAATTCCTTAGGAGTGATATAAAGTTGTCAATGGCTTTTTGGTCATTCTTGATTCTGTAGCTTCTACCTTGGATGGTAATATATATTACCTCTACAAAGATCTTACATTTATCATCTTCACCTTGTATCTCAATAATACACTCATTATATGTAATAATATTGGCCTATTATAAAAAATCAAGTCTAAATTGATTGAATAATAAATATTAATTAAAAAAAAATTAAGTAATAAAAAAAATCCATGTCTCTTGAAAATTATATTCATGATTTAGAGTCAAAAATCCATTTGGTATCATTTCCTTATATTGTAAGTACTTTAAGAGTCACTTCAAGAAGTTTCTCAAAACAAAGCTGCTTATTACTCAACTGCTTTAAGATATTGGTGCTATAACTTGAATATTTTAATAAATACCAAGCATTTTTGTAAGAAAGTCCATGAAATTTTTCATAATATAGAAATTATAGTGTCAGGGACATAAAGGATCTTTATATTATTGGACAATAAAAAGTTGGTAATGTAATATATAATGATAAGGATGCCGAATGATATTTAAAAGTGTGTCCAAAATTATGACAACAATTACAAATAAAGTTATTAGAATATACTTGAAGTTGAAAAAAATAACTTAAAAGATAATATTAGCCTCGTGGATGATATAAATAGTCAATAACATTATAAATTTTTATAATTGATACTTCTTTAGATTCTTATCTATAAAAATAAGATGATAATCATCTTCTTAAAGAAAAGCATGAAATTCTTGTAACAAGAGTATTGTTCATTTATTGAGATTTTGGCAAGCTAAAAAATAGAAATGGTTAAGCAACCTATTAAGAATTCTATGTACTAAGATGGCATTACTCTAAAGGTATCTAATATGAAATAATTCTCTTTAAAAGTACTTCAGTCAAGAAAATTATAATGTCTATATTATTGAGTATTTTCATATTCTTCCATTTCTTAAGTATAACCATAGTGTCTGTAATAATATTTATGTAGTACATTGAACTGAATTTGTATCAAGTAAGTCACAAATGTATGATGTCCTCTATAAATACTCCCAACTTTACTTGCAATAAGATTTTCAGTTGTCATCTTTTAGAAAAATACTCCTTGATATAATAGTATCTAACCTTTGTTATTCTAATATATCTGGCTTTGGTAGTACTGAATAATTAGGTTATTAATAAAATTTTTGGCTATTATAGCCTTGCATTTCTTCAAACTAAAGACGAAGTATATATTGCTTATAAGACTTACGAAGAAAAGACACAAAAAAGAACTAAAAAAAAAAAAAAAAAAAAAAAAATTATTAATTGAGGCATTGAGTTCTTGAATAATAAGTTTGATTTTAATTTTAAAGTTGAAGATATTTGGCACATGATCACTCTTATATATATATATATATATACATGAAATTTTTATCATGGAAGAGCATACGATATAGATTTGTTTTGAAAGAATACAAAAACATCTAAACAATGTCAAACTAGATCGTCAATATTAGATATTTGTAGCAAAATTTGTGACTTGGAATTACAATCGCCTTCTACTTATAAGAATCAGTAGTAAAACACTACATGAAGCTTTTTATAATGAAAAATAAAACTTTTCTTTAAAATACTCATCATTTTGGTTTGCTTGCTTGATATCAGATACTAAAGAAAAAATGTCAAAAGCTTGATGCAAAAGAAAAAAAGGGTATTTTTTTTAAATATTCAAAAGAAGCAAAAGGATATGAAATTATTCTACCGAAAGTGAAGAAGATGATTTTTAATTAAAATTTGATTTTTTCAATAACAAAGATGAATTATTTGGTAAACCATTGACTTCTCATGACAAAATTGGAAAAGATATAGATCATAGAAATAATCTTAATATGCTAGATTTTTAATATCTAAGTACATTAGAATTATTTCAATAGTAATCCTTAAGATTATATATGAATGATGGATTGGATGGATACATAGAAATTTTTATTTTTATCCAATAGTAAGAAAGTTGTAGATTCAAAATGTGTTTTTAAGAAAAAAAAACTTACTAGCAATGGCTCTATTAAATGTTTTAAAGTACAAGTGGTTTTGAAGAATTTTATTCAAGTAAAAGGTCTTGATTATCAAGAAACTTTTATATCAGTTCCTTGCCTTGCAATAATTTACATATTTGTTGCAATTATTATTATTCTTAATTAGAATATGTTGTAATTTAATATTATTTTAGCTTATTTAAATGATGAACTTAAAGAAGAGGATATTTATATGAAGATTCCAAAAGGTTTGGAAGTTCTATCAAAATACAAAGACAAGATGTTGCAATTGCTAAAGACTTTATATGATTTGAAGCAATCTAGATGTAGATAGAAGAAGAGTTTGGATAAATCTTTATTGAATCTTAGTTCATATTGCTCAAGAATAGATCCTTATTTGTACTTAATGTACATTGAAGGACTAATTCTTGCACTAATTATCTATATCCATGATGTACTTATTAGTGGTAAGAACTTTGAGATCTTTGTAAAATACAAGGATGAATTATAAGAGTGCTATAAGATGAAAGATCTAGATAAACCTAGTAATTTTCTTTGCATTGATATTTTGTAAGATAAAAAAAAATAATACTATTAATGTGAGCCAAATTAAATATATTTATTGAAGTTAGAAGAATTTGGAATAAAAGATGTAGAAGAAATTGCTATATCAATGATATGAAGTCATGTCACTAAAGATGAAATGATAATTTTTTGGATGCAAAAAGTCTAAAGCCTTATTAAAAAGCTTTAGATTCATCATTATACCTTGTAAATAATACAAGATATGACATTATATTTACTTGTCAATACTTTACTCAAAACATGGTACATCTATATATTTCACATTGGCAAAGAATCAAATAAATATTACTATTACTTGCAAAAAATAAAATATTTGGTATTCTAATATAGAAAAAATAAAGCAAATTTTTGACTTTTAGGCTATAGTAATGGAGATGGAGTAGGTTGTATGAAGACGTGTCATTCAGTAGGAGGTGATACATTTATATTAAGTGAGAAATTTATCACAAAATCAAGCAAGAAGCAATCTTTAGTTTTTGTTTCATCAATAGAGGCAAAGTATGTAGCTTTGGTTATTGCAATAAGGGAGACTTCGTGGCTTTGTAAAGTACTTAAGAATTATGACATTCTTGAACCAAAAAAGATTTTCACTTATGAGGACAATTAGAATGCCATTGCTATTGCCAAGAATCTAGGACATTATAGTCATACAAAGCATTGATATACAAAACATCATTTTATTAAGCAATGTTTAGAAAAATGACAATTTTTTTAGAATATTGTTCCATAGAGCAAATAGCGGCAGACATCTTCACAAAAACTCTTCTTAGAGATAAGTTTCTAGCTTTTATGGATATGTTAGGTCTTGTTTCAGTAAAGAATTAAGTCCCACCTTTGGAAGAGGACTGTTGAATGTTCCATATTATATGTACCAAAAGCTATGACTTATCCAATTTTTAACTAAGTCACCAAAAGAGTCCTTTCTTTGGCTTCTAGCACATTTTGTTTGCAATGAATGATGTCCATCATATTTTTATAACACATCATGTTTTCATAAAAAATTTCTTGAGAGGGCCAAGGCATAGGGGTAACGTACAGAAGACCTCTAATGAAAGGTGAGTATAGTTGCAGAGTTTCAAGTCAGGAGCTATGAAGGGCTTGCCTTCTACAGTTTGCATTAGGGTGATGCTTCCTATGATAGCCAGAAATGTTAGTGTCTGTCAGGGTTCAGTCTGTGGGCTACTTTGCGTAGTGAGCTATCATGAAATCAGGTTCACGACAGGCATTCAGGGCTGCTATTAGTGATCATCTGCTGAGTGTTTACTCATTTTCAGAACTAAAAGTAGAATATTTGAAAGCAACTCTAGCTACATTTGAGCTTGCACAGCGAAGAAAAGGCACAAAGACACCTTCCTGAAATCCATGACGATACCAAAAAACTTGGTAGGCTTTCAGTAGGCCAATTGAGACCAACATATATTTCAGTGGAAAAGGAAAATCCCAATGATGTTTCCGCAATATTTAGCTCCAATTAACTGAACTGGCTGCCATCAAGGAATGAGATGGGTTGCAAGAAGCAACTCGATGGCCCGAAAGCTGCCACAATGGTACTCTAGTTATTGGACTTGCATCATGGAAATGTAGTTCCTTTTTTAGATCATGACATCTGCTTGCAGCAATCACTGACCCTCGCAATGGATCATGTCTTTGCCTAGAGTGGATTTCGGAGAGGGTCGTAATGCTTGCAGTGGATTGATCACAGGGAGGAACAACAATCGAATTCTACATCGGGGCTGATAAAAAATTAGAGAAACTTCGAAACTTACTCTCAAGTTCATTGTCACCCTATAAGCGGAAATAAAATCAAGCCTGAAGCTCACCTTAACCGAATCTTCCGACCTCCTGAAGATATTTGCAGCTTTGCAGCAACCAGTGACCTACTTCACCAACACTGTAGGATTTTCATGCCTACAATCGGATTATCAGATTTTAATCCCACCTCACAGATTGCGTCGAAAACCATTAATTGATTTCCATCCCGTGCAACAACTCGGTGACTGAGTTGTTCCTTCTTCCAACTGTGTATTGCACGGCCCGATAGCAGTCGATCGGCTGGTCGTGTACGGAATGAGATGGCAGCGATTCAGATCCTGAGTCGCCAAAAATCAGAACAAACGAAAAGTAAAGTACGGAACTTTATCTCCGTCATCAATCGTCGTCGCGTTCAAAGAAAATCATGCGTCAAGTCGACTACAAGTACTTGAAGTATGGAGAAACTCCACAATCGAAAAAACTGGAATGGATTTGTCTGCAATCGAAACCAGAGAGCTGCGATTGATGAGGTCTTGAGTCCTTTAATATGCTGCGAAAATATGATTTGCCTTTCTCAAATGACCCTTGAGATGTGATTTCCGAACTTGCACGCACTTTATATCATGCGAAAGATTTCAACAACAGCTGGATTGGTCGACCTACCGATAACGCGGGATTGCGTCCCAGCATTCAGAGTCTGCATCTGCTACCGAAGATGGGAGACTACGGTGAACTTGGAGACAGATTACCAGGCCTTCTTCGCCCCCATTAACCTCAGTGGGTAGGAGTCTTACGTCCCCTCCGGTGTATGGTCGCCGGTTGGAACGGACTTCGTCCGCATCTCGAATGTGAAACTGTGGTAGAAATTCTGCAATGCATCTCCTACAAGTGCGTGTTTGCACACACGGCACTCTCTGATTTTACCCACAAGTCAATGGATGATTCGTCATGTGGTGAGCGGCGTGTGCATTGGCTTGTTTGACTGCGCTGCTTCGTAGACACCAGGCACATAATCGTAGAAGTGCGAAGCGACGGTTAAAATGATGTGAATGGTAGTGTATCCTGGTTACTTCGACAGTGACTTATGAAGCTTGTGCTGTTTCTCCTCCTTGCTTCTTCCCCATAGCCCAACCCCCGTCCAAAAAAATCCCATCTTCACATTCATGCATGCACATGAGCCACAGAATGTTCCACTTGGGCTCTGTGCTTTTGCAGCTTTGAACTTCATCCCTCTGAATTCCGAGACACTTGTTTATTATGTAATATTAAATTAAATCAAAGAAAACTGAAAATATAAAAGTATTTTAGTAGATAATTTTATTAGAAGAAATCATATCTTAGAATTGAAAAGAAATTTGAACTCAATTATAAATATATGTGTGTATGTCCACATATACGCATAGCCATGTGATTGGTTATATAAAAAAATATTAATCACAAAGGTTTTGTTTTGAGCCTTTCAATATTTGTCATCCTCACATGCATTTTTATGTTCTTATCTAATATATACCATAATGTATGAATTTACATATGTATATCATATATATAAATTTAAAAGACATAATTTTTTAAAATTAAATGTCTTTATACTTATTTAATGAATGCACATCAGTTTTGTAGAATTTGTACCGAGCTTGCCCTTTGACATTTTTACTCCATCCGTCCATCATTCTTGCATGTTGATAAATATTGATGTCAAATAGTTGCCTCACTTTTTTGAATAGCTTATTGACAAACTACCAATTGTTACAAGTGGATCAAATATTAATAGGAGAAGTGAAAGGTTAAAAAATTTTGGGTTTTAAAAAACAAAACAAAAAATCATTTATGAAAAATTAAAGGTTTAGGGTTTATTAAAAATATTCTTATCCAAAGAGCCATTACAATTTTTTGTTCATCCAGTACTGGGTACCTATTCTGCTACAGCCAGTACACACCCATTGAAGTTATGAATTCAAGAATTGTGAAACATTGACAAAATAAAATAAAATGGTGAAACTGTTGTACTTGCTTCAACCACCAACAATCTGAAATAATAACAATAATAATAATAATAAAATACATGATATAAAAATAAAAAGTAAAAATCATAAACTTAATGAAATTTTTAATACAAATGTGGACATAAGATGCTGTCATAAGGGATCAAACCATCAACCTTATCTAAAATATTTAAGAACCTTTAAATATCAAGAGTTGTAGAGAGAAGAGCTACAAAAAAACTCTGAGATCACACCAAGGCTGTGGAGTCCTGTTGAATTTATTTATTTATTTATTTATTTATTTAACTACACACACATACACATTCATGTATTTGTTGACCACTTTAGAAAGAATATGAAGACTTTGACTTATGTATTCATATGTCAAATTCCTCTTTCACTCATCCTCTTTCATTTTTGCAAAGAGATACAATGTACAATGTGTATGAGAATTTATTGAAGTAAAGCTTCTCTAATGAAAATGGTCTTTCTTTATATTTTATTTTGTTTGTATCTAGCCATGTGGGTTGTGTTGTCTATTTTTCCCACTCTTATTCTTGTTGGAGGGGTGAATCTATTGTGGACATGCCAGCTGTGGCTACATTAAGCTCTACTTCTATGAAAATGGACTTTGTTGACCCTGGTTAGCAGTTCATTAAGAGGTGGCCCCAGCTTTGTTGAGTTTCTTATTATGATTTATTACTATGATTTATTATTATGATTATAATAATTAATTTCTTCTTTTGAGTTTGTTACTAGATGCTCATCTTGTAAGCTCTGAAAAGTTTTAGCTCATGAACAACTCATTGCTTTGATCTAACCAGCATCCTGTCATTTGAAGCCTTCCAAACATACATACAAAAAAAGAAAGCTTTCCTCCTCCTGAAGCAACATTACATTCTTTGGAGGAATTCCACTGATTGATTCTTCTCTTCTCCAGGATTAATTCTTCTAGAAAATTTTTCCAGATCATTGTGCAACTTTGATTTGGATATTGAATTCATTTCAATTTTTTTTTTAAAAAAGAGAATACAAGAAAAAGAATAGAAAAATACAGTCAAAGTCAAATTTTAGGAACATAAGTCATCAAAAGTGAAAGCTATTCAACACAAAAGACACTTTTACAAACAAAAATAGCAAAAGTGCAAATGATGAACAAAAATCCTCTTGCTTTGGGGACACAAAATACAGCTCATCTTATGCAAAGACTTTGGGGTTTAGTAAAACATATCTCATGTAACAAAATTGACAATGACAGAAATATAAATCCCACAATGCATCTTTCAGTCATGGCTTCAGATGATGTCAAAGATAACACATCTTGTGATGGAGACAACAATTATATAAAGAAGCACCTAAATTAGTAGGTAATATTTTTACTGTAACCAAAGAATTGTCTTCTTTGTGGATGTGGTGATAAGCAAATCTTCACATTCTACCATCTTGGCTTTGACTGGAATCAATTAGGCCTTTCTGTTGAAGAGTAGCAAGTGATGCCTTCCTTCCTCCACATCATTTTCAATGATGTTTGGCATTTCAAGGATGAAGAGTGTTGTGAAGTTTTAGAGAATAGCTACATGCCCCCATTAGATGCTTCCTCCTCTGCCATGCTCCTGCTGTCAGCCTGCCTAGAGTTGAATTTAATTGAAGCTCTCTTTTTCCCTTGTTTCTGTTGTATTCCCTTATGTCTACTTCTTTGAGTTGGACCAGTATGTGAGATAGAGTCAAAGTGTGAGTGCCTGTATTGCTACTCTTGTATTATATTCAACCATTGTGTCACATTTTTTGCTGTAAAATCTGTCAAACATGATGGGTTGTGACATGAAAATGATTTCTGCATTTGTCATCTTGTTGTTCTTCTTCTTTGAAGTGTTGAGTTACTCTTGCCATTTCTTCTTGGCAAAAGAGGGCAGAGTGGTGGCTATGCTTTCGTGGGGAGCCACTTTGGTGGATATTGGTCACATGCACTTTTAATTGTACTTTTTATTATTGTATTATTAAGGGGTTTGATTTAAATGATGATGTAGCATGGAGTGTGGAAAATCCTTGGCAAAAGTGTGTTTCACAGGTTCCTTCATTGTGCTGGTGCTATAATTGAAAACTATGCCAATGTTTTGATCATCCAAGAGGAGGAAACAAAATGACATAAGGAAGATTGAATTGTTCCATCTTTTGCACCAGAATTTGTCTATGCATACTTTCATGAATAATAATTAATTAATCAAAAAGCATTCAATAATTTGAATAAACTTGGATATGGTTTTCAAGATTTTATAAATCACAAACTTGTTGTGCATAGGTTTACTGCAAAAAAAAACTTGTTAATCTTTAGCAGGGCTAAAATTAGATAATCTTGGCATACATTCTGTTAAAAAAAATATTCTTGCAAATATTTCAATTGAAACTATTCACGAATGGTTGGAAATATATTTAATTAAAAAAATAAAAAATAAATCCACCAGTCATGCATTATTTGACGTGTTCACCAATGTGAATAAGATTTTAAAT